CATAAGTGCCTCTGAAGTATGCATGGCCTGAACATTTTTTCTCTAAAAGTGAGGTCTAAGATGGACCCAGTAGTGGGCAAGAAAAGGTGAGAAGACAGATCACTACAGAATGCCTGAGGAGGTACCTGGCTAAATACGTTTTGTCCTTAACAGTTAGCAATGTTTCACAACTATCTATGCTCTCTATTACCAATTATGGCAATATAAATAGTTCTTCAATACTCCCGTCAAACTTAGGCATTCACATTCACTCTACACATCTTCAGAGAGAGGTATAGCACAAAATGAGCTGCATGATTTTTGTAAATAACATATCAAAACGTGGTTCATATAAATCTTATTCCAAAACACAATTTGGTATTATTGAGTTATAGAATAGCTAAAATTTGTTTTAGCTTATACATGGACTTTATTAATGGAATGTTTGACATAAATATTAGTATTACTATGAATTTGTGCTATTGTTTCTAAAACCTATAAAATTATTAAAAAATTATGAATTAATGTAGATCATCCATTTTACTTATGTGACATAAACACATTTGCCATAATAAGAAATAGCAAATGTTCTTCTAGCTTAAGAATGAAGACTAAAATTTAAAATTTGACTTATGTTTGCAATATGAAGAAGGGAATTAATTCAGTAATTTGGATGCTAAAATGTTGCCTGATATAGAAATATAGTTCAATTAAAAATGGGTTTGGGATATGCCTCAATAATAAGAATAGTTCTTCTAGTTCTGCACTTTGCTAAAATGGATCAGAATATAAAGGATCATAAGTTTATTTTTTAACAATTTGTTTGAATAGGAGTAGGCAGATTTAGCCCTAAACCAATCAGTACAGTAATGTTAAAATTAAGTCACAGTGTTCCAGAGAATAGTTCAATTACTGGAAGCCACAAAAACTAGGTCAACTTAATAGTTTGGTTAGACGACATGCTTTCATATTCTGGACAAACTAATCTTGGAATCCCAGCTGCTGAAAGCATCTGTTGTAGAGATGTAGAGAAAGAACAGCAATATGTCATCTTTACTGGCTAAAAGATGAAGAATGCTATGTTAGTCTATTTCTTGGCATAGATTGTCATAAAATCCCAAACATTCCTTTGGAATTTTATTGTTTACTAACTTTTCAGGAAAATAAATCCTTAAAGCATTTAATTATTTAATAAATAAAATTCATCAAATAACAATTTTTGTAAGCATTCATTTTCATTTCAATCTTTACCATATTGACTAGATAATTATTATCCAGATTCATGTGTCATCAATTCTCTCAGGAAAACAAGTTGAAAAGAAAAAGAACAGCCTCATTCTAACTTAGAGTGAACAGAGATTCTCCTTCCCGACCTCAAAAGAAAAGTTACATGTGTCAGTTGAGCAGGATTGAAGAGAAATTTCCTAACATATATTCACTTCCCAAATATTTATTATGAGAAAGTAAATGCAGTTGCTCAAGTTAGGCAACTGTTATAGTCACTATCAGAAATTAAGTAAAACAGACTTTTAAAACATAGAGTTACTATTAATATGAACTTATTTGCAAGCATCAGCCAACTTAAGCGATCAGGGAATATGTCCATATGATATCAAAGAAACCAAAGTAAATTAATTTAAAACACTGAATTACTTCCAGAAGTTGACTAGACTTATAATCAGCACTGAAACTTTTCTAACAACTAATTAAGAAAAGAGATACATGAAGTTATGTTTCTGATTCATTTAATAGCACAGTCTCTAAAGGCATCTTCAATTTGCTACATTTTCTTTGGATTTACTCAATTTGTCAAAGTTAGACAAAGCTTTTAAAAAAACATTAAATGGTTATGGCTCTGGTGAAATACTTTTTCTGTCTTTTTATAAGGGATTTCCATCCCTTGACAAACAAATCTTTTTAATAGAAAGTGGTTGCTAAGGAAAAACAATGAAATGTCATATAACAATCAAACTTGTTTGATTATGAAGTTTTATTATTTGCAAAAAAGAGTGGAATTACATTAAACAGAGAGAGTAAGAAGTAACTGTTCTGAATGGAAAAGACTGTCCTCATAATTGTGGTATGTTTAGACAAAACATTCATATGCTTTCTAGAAACAATGGATTCTCCAGGAGATTCAGAAATGAGGAAAGGAGATGCAGAGAAAGAAGATCACTCTCATTATTACCCTACTCTTTTTGCCTTTGAAAGAAAGCAAAAGAAACTGAGATGCCACTACATCAAATGGGGAAAAAAAATCTTCCTGAAAAAAATCAGGAAGATTTTTTTTTCCTAGTGTGAAAGACTAGTGAAGTATTCCTAAGAGAATGATCAAGGGTGAGCCAACAACCTCACAGACTGATACTCCAACCTTGCCCAGCCCTTCACAAGGAAATGCTTCCCAATTTTTTCAAATGTTGCTGATAAACTCAGCTACCCATTGCTTTGGTGCCTATTTGAAACTTTCAGCACTCTCTTCCTCCTGTCCTCCCCATATTCTTCTCCTAGCACATGATTCTACTTTACAGATAAAGCAGCCATCTAGCCCCACTCACCCTCACAAAAGTCAAATTCATCTTCATATCCTCTGCAGTCACAGCAGAAGAGAGCACTTATGCATGCTCATCCTTCCACATGCAACTAGCATTGATTCTCTTCCTTCTCTTGTAAGGACCTTGCTCCACCAGTTACCACTTCTGTGCCTCTCAAATGGCCTTTGGAATGCAAACATGCTCAAATTTCAGGACTTTAAAATAAAGCAAGTAAATAATAATACACACACACACACACACACACACACACCAACTATCTCCCTCTGTATGTCAGCTATTGTGGTCCTGTCTAAAAGGCCATCCCACCCTCTTTCTTGAATGGTTAACTTCTACGCATGTTTATATCTCCAGAATTACTTCTGGGAATCCCAGCATTACTGCCACATTCTTGCTGTATGCCACATACTCCCGTAAGGCTGCACTGTAACTGTCATTTGTCTTTCCAAAGACTTAAATAGGCTGTGGAGTCACTGAAGCCCTGGGTTGTTCTCCTGTGCCCCAGAAGGTAGCACAGTGACTCAGGCTAAACAGGTGCTCAGTAACGTCAAATGAAGGGAACAATTCTCTGTAAAGCTTCTTAACTAATGATACATTTCCCGCTTCTTCCTTCTTTATCCATCATATATATTGAAAATATTGAGTTGTAGTCATATCAGCAGAAGCTATCTTCTATTATCTGTGTCTCCCAACCATTGTTGCAACATTTGTGAACTATTAACGTGTTTTTATCTACCACTAGACTCTGAGCTCCAAGTAGTAAGCATCTAGCATACTTACCTTCCCATTTGGAGTACCAAAGGTACTCAAAAATTAACTAAAAAAAAGGAAACAAGGAGGGAGCGAGAGGGAGGGACAATTTTGAACAGGAGGAGAAAGTCAAGGTGCGGGGTTTGCATAACACAATGAGGTGAAAATGATGAAACAAAAGATACCTAATTCCAAAATTCTCAGTTGACTTAATATAAAATGGTAATTATTTGTCAAAAGGTTACACTGTATTGTATATTAAATAAATATAACTTCTTTATATACCTAAGCTCTTTAAAATATTCCACTCTTTTATTCTCCACATTTTATGATATATTCAGTTTCTCCATTCATCTCAAGGGATAATATTGCTCTTCATAATAATTTAGATTTCTTAAAAAAGACAACGTATAACCATGATATTAAAGTAATCTAATGCATATGCCTAGGCCACTCTGGTAATGGGGCATCATTGTATAGGTAAATGATTTATCTCCAGACTACCCTAAGAACTAAGCAGAACAGGTCCTGTTGTTTTCATTTTACAGTTGAGAAAATGGAACTGCAGAGAGGTTAAGAGGTGTGCACGCCTTGAAGCCGTTAAAAAATTGAGGAAGAAGGTGAAAGGGAGAAATATTAGATTTGCTCTTTTGAAAATGTTTCAGTGGGAGAAATGTAATCTTAATCAGCAACAAGCACTTATTCAGCATTTACCTCTTGGAGCCCAGCTCTGTTCTTCCTGCGGTAGAAATTTTACCAAAAGAAAGAGCAGGTATCACACCTCACAGCCCTTCAGATAGCAATTTTTTTGAGAGACCTTGGCCTTTCAAGTAATTTACTCCACAAACACTCTGAAATTCTAGAGTGGCAAGAAAAGCAATTGTTAACTAAAAGCTTAACATCTAATACAGCTAGCACACTATTTTTTTTTTTTTGGTAAAACATATGATACAGTAAAGGGTTTGGTGTGTGTGTGCGTGTGTGTGTGTGTGGGGGGGCACGTACTTTGGAGGACTCAGATAATTTCTATGTATTGATTCCATAACAGAACACTACCCCACCACCAACCTCTACACCTTTGTGTTCCTCCCATCCTGTTCTGCCCAACTAGAATTCCTCTCTGCGTGTTTGTTTCATTTGTTTATTCATCTTTACTAGCTATTTTTTTTTCATATCTTTTTATGGGGCTATTCTTCTGTCAATTTTAGAGGACCTAGAGCAACATCTTCTATTTAATCATAGAATCACAAGCAGGAGGGATTTATGAGATCTCTATGTTCACTGTTATTTAGACATAAATAGTTTATAAAAGTATGCCCAGAACTAAAGCACTGGATTGCAACAATGAAAGTACTTGTTGCTTTCAAGTAGTGGTAATGTGAATGATTTTTCACTGTTTTTCTAAAGAACAATTTTAATGTTTTATATAGCTTGGCCATAAATAAAGAAAAATAGTTTTGTAATTGTGGCATCTTTGCTTTGATGTCACATTCTTGGTTATATATATGAGTTATTGGATCACAAATAAATTTTATATCAAATGCATTTGATTAGGAATACAACTTCCAAAAATTATGTGCCCCTAAAGACAATTTGACCTGTTTATCCATAATCTGTATAATGATGGCTTTCCTTTATTTTTAAAACCGGAGGTTTCTTACCATTCTTGCTTTATTTTTCATGGTGAAACATTGAGAAGCAAGTGATGTGCAAGAGCCTTACCCACTCTTCCTCGTCGTAGTCTGAATGATGCGGTATGGAGTCCTGCCTTTTCATCGGGGAGGGCTGGTCTCGTGGACTGCTCTCCTCCGTGCTGCTCTTAGGAGAGGGCAGCTTCTTAAGGATGCCTCCTGGTCTTGCAGTATAGAGTGCTAAAAGAGCACTCCTGACCAGCTGATCCTTGAAGGCATGTACAAAAAGCTCTGTCTGGAAAGAAATTGATAAGGATTAGAAACACCATGGTAGGCCTCTCTGTATAGAGCTATGAAAAGGTCAATTGCAGATTTGTTGGTATTCAAGTGGTGTGTATAGAGGAAAATGTACAGACACCAAAGAGAGAAAATGGTTCATACCAATCAATGGAAAATAGTTTGGTTTTGGGACACTGCCAAGGCCTTAAGTCCTCCTGTTTTACAGTTAATGCTGAGGTTTTAAATGTACTATAAACACCATCTGTCTTCCCAACCTCATTTCTTTTAGCTTCAAATCCTGTCTTTGGAGATGAATTTCACTGGGGATTATCATGTGAACAACATCTATATACCTGCTGCACCTTTCAAATAATTCCAAACACACTTCAAAAGAAAATGTGATCAGACTATGTATATTTTATATTTTAAACAGAGTTGAAGGCTAAAGAAAGAAAGATATATCTTTTCAAAAAATAGTCCGGAGACTTTATTTTTTTAACATTATGGACAGATCTCAATAGTAAAGATGACATAGGCAGTCTTCCCCTTGAAGACATTTGGCTTTTATTCCTTATTATCACCCCCTAAATTGTTTCTTCTACCCAATTGTTTAACAAGGTTACTGTGAAACTTGGCATGGTAGATTTTACAAGCTGGTAGCAAATACCTAGTAAGTGCTATAGTAATGAAAGCTTCCAAACAATAAGAACTTCGCAGCTGTACTTTGCAATTTCCTAATGAAATGTTTAATAGCTTCACCCCATAATAGACTGAAGGGTGCAGTAACTGATTTTCTGTATCATAGTACAGTTAACATGCATGTAGCCTAACAATCTGTTCAGAATAAAGAAATAAGTCAAGCAATGACCCATGTTGTTCCTATGTTCATGCTCTGTAATTTGTTAGGAAGGGGCCCTTTAACTCATAGTCTTATACTGAATAATAATCGATAGAACCACCATTTATGAGACACCCTTGGATATAATGCTGACTTCACCTTTGCTGCAACTCAAGGTAACTATTTCTTGGTGCATTTCCATACCTAACTAGTGGTTACTAAATTATCTTTAAATCATCCTGTTGTGAGCATCAGCAATTGAGGAAAACCAGTTAAACCACATGTAAAACAGTGCTAATAAGACTTTGCCACATCTGCATAGTTACATCTTTGCAACAGAGCATAATTTTACAGAGCAGATAGGGTTCTTAAAGTTGACCTCTTTATTAACCAGATAAGAAAACGAAGAAAGAAATGTGGTGAACTGTTTTAGGGCATATAGCTTATTGGCAGTACTAATAGAACAGATCCAAAGTTTTCTTAACAAAGTCACTACGTTTTGTCCTTTTTCCATGCTACTCACTACCCACCATCAACTAATGTTTCTGTCCTTCATTCTCGTCTTCCCTGACCCCAACCATCCAAGTGTTTTGAGCAACTACCAGTTCATAATTAAATGTGCCCACAATTGCCCATGTACATCTTTTTGCTCAATTCTGTTGGATATTTTAAACATTCTGGTGATTTGTAAGTCATACTGATGCCACTTTGAAGGTGAGAAAACAGGACATATGAAAAATAGAATATATAAAAGACTGGAAAATATTTTGGATAAATTAGGAAAACAAAATAAAAAGGCAGCTTACACTGGGAAAGCACAGAAAGAAGTGCTCACTGACATTCGCAATGAAATGTTCAAATGAGAATGGAAAATATAAGAAAAATGCTGATGGAAAAATTGGCTAGACGGTACTCAAACAAGTCAGTGTAGTCATAGCAAAATGAGGAAACATGTTATTTACATAATTTTTCATATAGCATGAATGTGCCCATCATTATGAATTTAAATATTAAAAATGTGAATCTACTTTCATTCAGCTTAACTAAACTATTGCTCTGTTGATGGTTTCAATAAATTCTTTTGATTTATTTTTAGAGCAAAACAGCTTGCCTTCTTTGAATTCCTGCTACTACAGCTCCAGCCTTCACAATACTCACATAATTACTATGTAGCTAAATATCTATTCACACCCAATGAAATCTCCTCTAGTACTTGTAATCACCATCATTTTCTTCCCACAGCATGCACATACAGAGATTCCACTTCATTTATTCACATATCATTTGAGTTCATTTATCACCAAAGGCAAAGGAGATGATGCACTAGATTCTTGCAGTTTTACATCCCAGAATTTCTTTAGATAACAGAAAACAAGGCAAAAAATCTAAAATAAAATATTAACTGAAACTTCATCTTGTGTCTGTACTGACAAAATCTGACTCCTTAGGAACTCCCTGTATCACAGTATGCAGTGCGTAGAATAATATTTTGTTAGAAAATACCTAAATATTCCGTCGCCATATCCATGTGACCCCCAAAAAATCTTACTCTTTGACGATCACTACTTAGTAATGTAGGCCAATATAGACCCTAGAAGTCTTACAGCTAAAATAAATCAGCTTGAGGAGATCAATACAGTCATTTCATCCCAACACAGCTGTATACAGTAGTCCCACCTTATCTACAATTTTGATTTCCATAGTTTCAGTTACTCTCAGTCAACCTCAGTTTGAAAATATTAAATGGAATATTCCAGAAATATTGGGATATATACCCTGATGGTAAGGGGGTACTACTGTATTACTATTCTTTGAAACTGGGATGAAACTAGGGAAACTGAGGATCATAGAAAGAATGTGGCCATATCTCCTAGTTGCTATTGACTGTTCTGAAAACCTTTTTCTTTTACTGACCCAGCTTGCACTATATACAATGAAAAAAGAAAGGCTTTCTAAATGTCATCATAAGGGTAGGCAAAACAATTATTTAAAATATCAGCTTAATAATATCATAAAAAAAGAATAAACTCTGAACCTAAGGCAGACCTATTTCATTTTTCGATATTAGAAAATGAAAGAGAAATGCTATCTTAAAACAGATATGTTTTCTAGCCTTACTGACATTTTTCCAATTCATATCCCCATATAACTATTCTTCAAAGCAACATACAGAATTATCTGCAAGTATAAAACGACTAAAAATTACTTCTCCTGGGGATGAATGAAGAGAGTTTCCTAGTTCTCTGAATATTAATGGCAGAGGAATAGTTAGGATAGGTTCATTTAAAACCACTCTTTTTCAACTAAAGATCTCAACAAATTTAGCAAAGTCCTATTCTATTTAGAATCTCCTTACTCTTACTGAAAAAAAAAAATTAAGTTAATGCCTAATCCCACCTGTAATGCAGAAGTAGCCAATGGCATAAGCAAATGATTATTATTTTAGTAATCATATATGCAGCAAGAAAGAGTTCTATTTATTTTGATATTTGATATATTTTAATTATTTGATAGAGAAATAGTGCTATACTCTGTCATTAGTCCCTTGATGTATGTTCAACATTCCTTAAAGGAAAGAGTATTGGTCTAAGAGCCAGGAGGTTATTTGACATGTAAGCAGCTAATATATGTTATCCACTTGACCTTGGATAAATTATGTAGCCATTTTCTCAGTATTTACAAAATTACAATGCCTACATGTGACACTCCAATGGGAGTACATTGTAAACTCTGAAGTGTACTCTTCTTAATGCTCCTCTTTCTTGACTGACCTTTTTTGACTCATCATCCTTTGGTCACCCAAAATGTAATAAGTGGGCCCCAAAAGACTTTCACTTCCTCAAAAGTATTTTACTTCATTGGTGAGGTAACCCATTTTCCCATAGCTTCAAGTATCATCTTTATGCAGAGGTCTCTAAAACCCATCTACTGTGTTTCCCCGAAAAAAGACTTACCCATAATATAAACCCTAGCAGGATCTCTGAGCCTTTGCACAATATAAGCCCTACCCCAAAAATAAGACCTAGTGATGGGTGTGGCTACGCAGCGCATCTGCACAACCCATGCATTTCATGGCAGAGTGGTAAAGAAGATGAGCATTCTTCTTATCTGCCCTATGAGAGCTCTATTGCTCGACATGAGAGATTAGGGCCAATGATTCTAAAGGAAATAGAGTTGCAAGAAATTCAGGATGGAATTTGGTGTTTGGAGAGTTATGATGATATTTCAGAAGAAGACGACTTCACTACATTTGAATAAATGTAGATTGCTATATAATACTTAAAAAAAATAACACATCCCCTGAAAATAAGCCCTAGGGTGTCTTCTTGAGGAAAAATAAATATAAGACCCTGTCTTATTTTCAGGGAAACACGATATATATCCATCTCTTGAACTAGCTCTATCGACTATTTCCATTGCAAATCTGCTAAGCTTAGAAGCCCCAGTTTGAACTCAAGTTTTTTGTTTTGCTTTGTTTTGTTTTATTAATAGTATATTGGTTCTTTCCAGATTTTCCATATGAGTGGTGTCATTATTACTAATATTTAGCAACTCAGAGTCCAAACTTCTGAATCATCCTCAGTAATATCTATTTGATGAGGAAGTCATCAGTTTCTTCTGGTTAAACCTTTCCAATAATTTCAAACACTGACCTTTACTCTACATTCCCATAGCTGGTCCCAATTAAGATCATTTCTACATTACATGTGGATCCTTTCTATAGTCTCTTTACTGTTTGGTTTAATTGTCTTAAACCAGCTTTTCTTTTTCTTTCAGGTTGTTATCCAAAGGCCACCAATACTAGAATATAGACTCTTGCATCAAAGTCTTGGACTACGAAACCTACACAAATCAGTACTTTTATTTTTAGCACACTCCCCCAGCAGTACTGCTGACATTTTGTGTTGCCCAGTAATGTCCAGCAATTTAACTCCACTCTCCTAATTCAGCCTGTATATTGCTGTTAGGATGATCTTCACAATGCACACATCTAATCCTTCCTCACTTAACAGCCTTTTCAGTACCTACAGAATAAACTTTCTCTTGAGTCAATCACTAGGACTTGGGTGGCTCGATGCAATAGAGTTTTTTTATCTTTTAAATTTATGAAACACTGCTGAAACTTTCACATTTCCAATGTGTGCAAGTAATCGTGTACCCATCAGTGATGAATGAAA